CTCAACGGAGTTGAGTTCATCTGTTCCTGAGTTCTCTCCCTCTCTCCCTTTTTTCTTTAACATAAAGGAAATCTTAGATAATAATATAATTGTGAAACCTCACAAACACAACACTAACTCTCTGATACTTAAATATTTACACCTCACCATGATATGCAAATACAAGTTAATCCATTTTATTACCCAACTCACCAGTCACATAGAAGGTTTCTCAAATCCTTAAACAACATCATTACAATACCATTACTTGCTTCCTGTTAGAATGATCAACATCTAACAGACACCATCTATGGGTCCCTAAACCCGAACATATTATAATTCCATCACAGCCACAAATTCATTATGTGGTATTCAAACAGTGACCTTACTTGAACAGAATCAGTTCTCTAGGTTGTACAATTCAGTCCAGAAGTTCTAAAAATTATGTCATGTTCGAACAGAAAACAGCACTAATCTATCAAGTGATATTTTCTTCCTGGATGTGAACGTAAACTTAATGAATTATAAAAGAATACAATGCCTCCCTCCAATAAAAGTGTATACTAGAACTAGCATAATAGGATCTAAATCTGCATTCTACACAATTACCTACATAGACAGATTTGAAGGGAAAAATTCCTAGATAAACAAGCCAGCAGTTGTTTAACAATCTTTGCAAGGAAAGTGAACCTTCATACAAATTTAGGCAGAAAATATCTTCCGGAGCTATTAAAAAACATGTTCACTTGGCTATTTTTCCACTGGTCTAAAATTTAAAATAAATAAATTTAAAACCTTAAAATAAGAAAGTTAAATTATAATTTTAGTTCATAAATTTTCAAGGTTGTATCTAATAAGTCCTGAATTTTAGTATGTGTTTAATAAGCTCCTAAAATTTCAATTTTGTGGTTAATAGGTCCATAAGCTGTGGTTAATAGGTCCATAAACTTTCAATTTTGTGTCTAATAGGTCCCTAAATCTCTAATTTTGTGACCGATTTGACATTTATAAAAAATTCAAGAACCTATTAGACATGCAATTGAAAGTCCATTTACATATTAGGCCTTTTTAAAATTAAAAGTTCAGGGACCTATTAAGTACAATTTTGATAGTTCGACTAAACTAGTAATTTGACCAAATTAAAAATAATATTTGAAATTTTAAGCAAGTAAATTATAAAGCAATTAGTAACCAATAAAATGGTAATCGAAGAAATATGGAATAAGCATCATACTTTATCGTGGACCCTCCTTTGCCAATTATAGCTCCACATGAACTGTGGGGAACAATTAGTCTCACTTTTGTTCTTGGTTCAACATCATCTCCTTCTTCAGCATGAAGCTACCAGCAAACAAAATTTTTTATCAGTCACAAATAATGAACATTTAAATTCAAGAGTGAACTTGAACTGCTTAGAGATTACCTCGCTCAACAACTTAGCAAGAACAAGATCCATGGCCTTCAGTATTTCATTTATTGTTCCAGATACCATAATGATCCTATCGGTGGTTCCAGGGAAAAATTCATGATTCCGTGACAATTGGATTCGTGCACCAGACTGTGACTGGAAATCGTTAATTGTTGAACCACCTTTCCCAATTACAGAACCAGCAGCAGCATTTGATACAAGAAACCTAATGTATGTGCCCTTTTCCATATTATCTGAAAATAGCAATTATGATGAGAGTGAAACACTATCCGTAAGCAGAAATGGAAGAAAATTGGATATTTAACCACAAAATTGAATAGGCATATACGCATTATCAATTGGAAAATGTAGTTAGATCTTATTCATAAATTAATCTAGAAGGTTGAGATGTGACAGAGCTAAAGCCTTCGATATAAATCATAATCGTGCCTTATAAAGAAACATACACGTTACCATACTAGATGGTAACATAGAATCTCACTTATAAGTTCTTAATTTTCACATTAAATTTTACATAAGATTCTTTATAAACATTACTGATGAAAAGGAACTGAGAAATGGTTTTATCTATGTTTCAATCCCTATTATAATAAATCAACGCACAAATACTCATTGAGGCGAGTTCAGAAATTCAAATTAGAAGTACATGTAAAAAAACAAGTTCGTTAAACCAAATAAGCTTTCCACATCCAGCTGCCTTCACGAAATTATAGAAGAACCGACGGTTGAAAAAGAGTTTGAATACTCTTCTGAAACAAACATGAGACTACTCATGTTTCTACTCGCTGTCCATCACCAAATATAGCGAACTTTTGACTATTATGACACACACCGGGAGATGCAGTGCGTTTTTTGTATCAATATACGGATGAATCGGTGGCAGTGGCACTTCAAAAAAAATGACAACGGCTTCCCAATTCATTCGGTCAACTGTAATAAATCTCAATAAAGCAACACTTCCTCACAAAAAATAAAAAAAAAATAAAATAAAATAAAACCTGCCAGGAGCCACACTCTCTTTTTCTAAGCTTTGCAGGCAAGGAAGCACAAGTGCAGACCATTGGAAGTCGAAATTGCACGATTAATCATTTCCTCGGCCGTCACAAATAAATCAAGCATAACACACAAAGCTAGGGTTTCATTTCCAACCAGAAAAGGTAAAGAACAACGTAGGACAAAAAAAAAATAAACACACAAATTGCATAATTCCACAAACAAACCGATCTGAAACAAAAACACTCGCATACAAGAACAGCTCCAAGCATTAAAAAAAAATCACACAAAACAGCGAGAGTAGGGATCAAATTTTCGAAATGAGAGTAAAATAGAGATTGAAATCAGATCAGATACCTGAGTTAGGAGATTTTGGCGGCGGTGGAGATCGCTTCGCAGGAGCCTCAGGAGACGATACGTATGAAGACTCCGTAGACTCCATTCTCTTTCCTCCTCCTTCACGGCGGCGGCTAGAGAGAGAGAGAGAGGCGTTGCAGAGCAGTTGAGAATTTGAGAAGAGGATGTGGCAGAGCGCTCGCAAAAACTCGACTCGTTCAGCACCAAACCCAAAATGGAAGCTCGAGTTGAAGATGCAGTTATGATTTTATTTTATAATTTCTTTTTTTATTTATCTATTTATTTATTTATCAGATCGTTCTAAATGTAAGTTGTTCCTTTTTTAATATAAATAATAATAAATAAATAAATAAATAAATAATTTTTTGGGGGCGTTTGGAGCTGGACTTGAAAAGAGAACGGTGAGCTGTGAGTAGGGAAAGTCAGTCCCAACTACCCGCCTCTGTGCCCACACCCTTATCTATGAGAACGTCAATCTTTACCCACCAAAACCGCTCCATAACCTCCTCTTATCTAAATTAGGGTTACATCCAATTTCAGTTTAAACGCTCGTATCTATCTCAGACACCTTAATAAAACTATGCATTTATGAGTTGTTATATTTTTGGGAATTTTGGATTGCGTTGTATGTCCTCATCGGTCGTATCATGATACTTGTCTATCTCGACCCTCACGCGACCTGGTGGGTGCCACTTGCATGTCACCTTCTAGCCGACTGCTCGTAGGAGTCACAACCTACTGTCTTCTTAGTGCAGCTGTAATGTGTGTCTTTCTCGATCGCATCATGACCCTAGTCTGTCTCGATTCTCACATGACCGGCCCAATGCCACTCGCGTGTCACCTTCTGACTCATTGCTCGTAGGGGTCACAATCTACTGTTTACATTCAACTTTTGTCTCGACTTTTAAGGCTACAACTCATTTGGTATTGTTTATCAATTTCTTGGCCGATTTGCAGCTTTAACGGTCTTTCTTGCTTATATTACACCGTCTACGTAAATTTAGTGGAGCTCATTTAATTTCTTGTCAAGTTAGGACCACTGAATTTTGTCTAGTTGTCTTATGCTCACTTTGTAGCTTCTGGGCTCACCTAAAAAATAGCTCGGACTTCATAGGTTAATTTACCGTTTGATTATTGAAATATTGACGAGTGTTAGATTGAGTAAACAACGTTCACCTACATTAATTAATTAATTAACTTTAAAAACATTTAACCTCGTATTAAATGTAATGTTTAATGATAGTTGATTTTAGTAAATTCAACTAATTAAAGCTCATCAATGAATATAATGGTTAATCAAGATTAATAATTTTTTTATTTCAATGACTATTAGATAAGTCTTTACCCTTCTATATTGGGTCAGTACGAGGGTGTATGACCGTTCTAAGATGAAAGCATGTAAAAGGGGTTTAGAACGGGCATGCAACCATGGACAACACGTCCTGAACAAGGAAGACCGAGATTCTGTCACGCGGGCATTGACAACATGCATGACCGCGACATCCTCCCTCGCAAGACTAGGACATCTGTCATGCTTGTCCAAAGCAAAGCCGAACTCAGGATTAATATTCTCAATTAGAAAATTAATAAATAACATATTTTATGGTACAGTCTTATAAAGATGTATTGTTGTGATTAGTAGCTCATATGTCTTTACATGAACGATTTTGACCAAATCATTTATCACTATTACAACGTCTATCATATCGATAGTACGGTCTAGATACGATGACAAAATCTTATCATATATTATACTCTTACAATTTTTTTTATGACTACTATATATTATTCACAATAACACGAATAACCTTTTATTTTTATACAATTAATATTTTAAATAAAACAATCGACCACGTAAGTAATCATCAAATAGTCAAATATCAATAATAAGATTTATGTTGTGTTATGTCGGTCAGCTTTTAAATATTATATTCTAGCATCTATTTTAATTTCAATGCTTAATTTCTCGTAATTAATTCAACAAAGGCACGAACACGTTTGGAATTCAAGTTGGTTAATTAAATTAATAAAGGATATTAATAAATTCATTAACTTTTTGAAAAATTAAAATTTATATTTTATATCTAATAAATTTCAAAATTTTAAAAAAATGTTTCATTTCGTGATTGATAGGTCAATTTTAATTTGATTAAAAAATTTATTAGACAACAAAACTAAAAAAAAATTAATATACTTTTATTTTAAATATAAATTCGTGGGTTAATTTAAAAAGGAGGGAATATTTTGAATCAATAATTTATTGAAAGAGTCTCAACAACCAGAGCTCAGCTCCAACCTCCCAACTTGCGCAATGGCGGGGAATTTTGAGGTATTGACCCACAAATTCCGGTTCGTTGCATGTTCTAGGGATCCGATCGGAGCCTGTAATTAATTCGCGAGGGTCAATTCGGAGTTCGGTTTCATACGGTTTTTTTTCTTACCCTAGGTACTGTGAATTGATCGAATTTACGTCGGGGAGTTCTATGAAGTTCGCGGCCAATCGGTTCGAGATCTTCTCTGGCAAGGTTGCAGGATGTTTTAATATATAAATATATATATATTTCTTCTGAATTTTTTAGTTTCTAGTTGTTTCTGATATATTCTGGTGTTTGATTTTGTTGTCTTCGTTTTTTCTTCTGTGACAGCTCTAGGTTTTGGCAATGGCAGCCTCGAGGAATGGTCAAATTGATGGCTGAGAATCGGTAAATTGGGATTTTCATTCATTTTTCTTTACAACGAAACATGAAATTGACTGCGTGTTTTCTTTAATTTTGGAATAGTTTGAGGATTTGACTTGTAACCGCCCCTTCACCACTACTAGATATGGTATCTTTAGGCTTTTCCTTTTGGACTTACCTTTGAGGTTTCCACGTCCTTATAAATAATCCTTCGTTCTCCTTTACAATCGAAGTGGAATCTCACGCTCAAACCCACGCTAGCAGATATTGTCATCTTTGGGCTTTTCCTTTCGGACTTACCCTCAAAAGAGGTATCCACAAAAGAGGTATCCATGGGCTTTTCCTTTAGAATTTACCATCAAAAGAGGTTTCCACGTCCTTATAAATAATATTTCGTTCTCCTCTTCAACCGATATGAATCACACAATCCACCCCTTTGGGTCCGTCCTTGCTGGCACTCGTTCTCTTCTTCAATCGATGTGGGACCCAATCCACCCCCTTTGGGGCTCAGCCTCTTTGCTCGCATATCGTCCGGAACTTGACGCTGACACCTTTTGTAATAGCTTAAACCCACCGCTAGTAGATATTGTTATCTTTGGGCTTTCCTCTACGACCTTCCCCTTATAAAGAATGCTTCCTTCTCCTTCCAACCAATGTAGGATCTCACTTAATTGGTAGTCGAGAAAACCTTCCCCTTACAAAGAATGCTTCCTTCTCCTCCCAAGCAACATAAGATCTCACGTTATTGGTATTCGAGAAAATGTGGTTTACACGTCACTATTGAAAATTTGTCGGGGGGATGGTAGCAGCTGTTATAGTCTTTCCATAGATGATCACCATATTCAAAATCTCTGAAAAGGTCAATGTCACGATGATTTGTAATGCATCTCTTTCCTCCCGTTTTCCCTTTCATCTGTGAGAAATGCCCTTTTTTGCTTTGCCCTTTGGCATGATTAAACTACTTACGATGCAGCCGGTTGAACAAACAGGGCTTCCAATTTTTTAGTCTTTAAAAGTTTCTAGCCAGCCCTTTTTCTTTCTCCATTTGTAAGCTAATTCTTGGTCAACTAAGCATGCAAGCCATTTATCTGTCGGTCGGTAAATATTTTATGCTGTCGATCAGTTGCATTATGATTTGTTAATTGATTGTGACATGCATGTGGGGAAAAAAGTTATTCATGTTGACTGCCATCTTCATTTGATGTTCTTGAGCCTATTTCTGATCTGTTCCCAAATCCCTCTGTTTCTTGGGTGGTTCCTTATTTGACTTGAATAAAGAAAGACTTCTCCTCATGTCTGTCACCTCACATCGATTAAATTATAAAATTTCTCACAACTACCAATTCTGACATAATTGTTAAAGCGTTGGAAGTCAGCTCATGCGGAGGCAGCTCGTTTGTTTTATCTGTTGCAATTTGGTTGACCAAAACCCTTAAGAAAATGAACCATTCTTATGGTCTCCCTAAGAAAATGAACCATTCTTATGGTCTCCCTAGTAACGGTAATAATATGGACCAAGACACCAATCATACCACATTCTTTAGAGTGATTCCATATCAAATAAGCTCACACGAGTTCAAAAAAAAGTTTCCAGATGATATTTCTGTTTCCAACTCCTTACTGGTGTAATCTTCGTCATAAAGATTCAGAAGCCATGGCTGTGTTAGCTGCACTAGTCAGTTTGCCTCCAAATTTTGCCCCTTCTCAGTCTAGTTAACTTCAGTTGGTGCAACCCTTTTAAACCCATGGACACCTGACGCCATTTTTTCTACGCTCAGAATTTCTGGACAATTATTTTCAATATTTGGATGACAATCTCATTTTAGATATGCCTTAACGTACCACCCTTTTAAGAATGCAAAAGCCCTATTATAAGAAAAATCTCATCATGGCTTCCCTTTAGAATCTAGACATAAACCTACACAAAACTTTTCGACAATTTTGTTTACCAAGCTATATCTTGGTGTAAACTGTCTAATAATTTTACTTCCTATAGTTATACCTCCCTCATTGCAAATTGGGTAAGTCTTTTGTAAACACCATGGATTATACATGGCCGAATACTGAGCTCGTGACGGAAGGATAAACATTTGAGAACTTTGATCCTTACTGTGTTTGCTGCATAAATAGAGTATTATCTCTCGAGTCTATTGCTTTCTTGCCTTCCCATTACCTTCTTTTCTAGAGTTTGTTGTCATGAGATGATGTGTTTTAGCATTTTTCTGCCCTGTTTTAATCAATGTGGCTGCTGTTATTTCATTATGATGGTGAAGGTATATTTCATATTAGATCAAAAACTTAAATGGATGGAAATAATATTCATTACCCACCTCCCAGGGAAGGAAGCGAAATATTTCTTATAAAAATGTGGAAATCTCTCTATAGTAGACACGTTTTAAAACTGTGAGGCTAACGATGATATGTAACGAACTAAAACAGATAATATCTACTAGCTCTGGGCTTGAACTTGGGCTATGGGCTTCGGCTGTTACTGCACTCAAATTGCAGTAACTGGTTCCCAAAATTTTCTATCTTTTAAGACGTCCAATCGGAGTAAATAAAACTGTTCTTAAAAGGTTGACGACCAAACATCCAACGGTCAGTTTAACCGCTTAAAAACAATGTCACACATCACATGTTCCCTCTAACCACAACCCTCCTCCTCCTGCGTGGGCTTTTGCAGGCCCTTTTACATTTTCATCCGTATAAAAACCTAGCTAGTTCAATATCCAATCATGGCAACCTACTCATGATTTAAAAACCCGACCCGTCTGACCTTGGCAACCAAATGTAATAAGATGATTTTTTTGTCTCGTGAATTAGTCAAAATTCCCACAAATTGGTTCGACCGCTCATCAATCTCAAAAGAAAATGAAAGGAATATATTAGGTGACTTGAGATTTCACGTTGGTTGGAGAGAGATACGAAGCATTCCTTATAAGTGTGTGGAAACCTCTTCCTCGTGGACGAGTTTTAAAACCTTGAAGGGAACCCTTGGAGGCATTCCTTATAAGGGTGTAGAAACCTCTTCCTCGTGGACGAGTTTTAAAACCTTGAAAGGAACCCTTGGAGGAAAAACCCAAAGAGAAAAATATATACTAGCGGTGGGCTTGACCTATTACAAATTGTATTAGAGTCGAACTCTAGGCGATGTGTTAATGAGAATGTTGGGTCCCTAATGGGGTGGATTGTGAGATCTCACATCAGTTGGAGATGGAAATGAAACATTCATTGTAAGGGTGTGGAAACCTCTTCCTTGTATACGCGTTTTAAAATCGTGAGACTGACAATGATATTTAACAGGCCAAAGCGGACAACATCTGATAGCGGTGGGCTTGAATTATTATAGGTAATTTTTTCCGATATTTGTAAATGTCCAAGTTAACTTCTATGCACATTGAGTATTCTTATGCATGACTATTCTTATGGAACAATAGACCAATCCTATTAGATTTGTGTCAGGTTAACTCGTAAGATACTAAATTTTCAGCCATCGTTATCATATCTTTTATTTATACAACTATTATGATCACTAGATAAAATCATAGTGGTTTAATATTTTTAGATGAAATTAACAACAAGGTCACGTGGATGTTAATTTAGATTCGAAATGAATGATATCATATCGACCCATCTTATCAACCACATAGGATTCACTTTGTAATTCACATAACAAAATTTAGCCTTGAATTCACTTACCTGTTTTTTAACCCAACGAACTTGTCTGCTTTTTAATGGACACTTGATTGATTGATGCCTAATTTGTTTTTTTGAAAAGTTATATAATATGAATACCCATCATTTCTTTTTTATGGCTATTTACTTATTTTCTCAGCCTAGAATATATATTTTAATTAATTGAATTATGTTTGATTTGGTCAATTGACTTAAGCTATGAAAACCTGAAGTCATCTAAATGAAAACCTGAAGTCATCTAAATTCATCGATATTGATGTCTTAAAAACTTTAAAAAAGATGTTGGTACGAACAAAATTTACTAAAATATGTTGGGAGTTAGAACTTAAAAAAAAATCTCAGCAAAAAAAATTATAGTTCATTGTAACAATCTAAGCTTAATGTCTGCTTTAATCCTATGCGTATCGTGTTTTTCTTTTTAACTGATGTGAGATTTCACAATCCACTTCTTTTAGGGTCCAACGTCCTTACTGGCACACCTTTGATATCTAGCTCTGGTACCATTTGTAACAACTTGAGCCCACCGCTAGCAGATATAGTCCGTTTTAGCTTGTTATGTATCGTAGTCAACTTCATGGTTTTAAAACGCATCTATTAGGGAGAGGTTTTCACGTCTTTATAAAAAATGTTTTGTTCCATTCTCCACCGCACCGATGTGAGATCTTACCTTCATTTCCCAAACCCATTTTTTCTTCTCAAAATTAGAGTGAAATTGAAGAGTGACAATTGTTATTTTAGATTAGTTTATTTACAAATTTAGGGGTTTGTTTTTTTCCTTCGTCCCAAGGAAACTTGGATGGCGAATGTGGGAGGTAAAGGTGGAGCGGCATGGCACGTGCCACCCACGAGAAACATTCTCCACTTTTTGTCAGCATGCTGGATCAAGCACCTGACACACTTGAATGTTCCACTTTAGGATAAGATACTATAATATATTTAATTTACCCTTTAGCCTTCAATTCTCTCTCTAGGGACCATTATTAAAAAATATCTTTAAAATTTCAATAATACATTTAAATTAAAAAAAAAAGTTTAAAAATTATTATTTTTTATTTTTTCAATTGAGCTAAACTTAAATGGGTAATTATTAAATTATTTTTTAATAATAATTAATCCACTTGAAAATCTTTGTTCATAAAAAGAAATTAAAAAATTAACCCAAAATGGCAATGATTAAGAAAATGGGAAAAAAATAATTGGTTAGGTGGGCTTTTGATTCCAACCCACGTCACTCGAATAAAGCTTTAGCATCCCATTTCAATATTATATAATGTTCTTAAAGAAAACCCATCCCATGTGCTTCTTTGCCTAATTAACCTCAAATTCGATCTACAGAATGGCTCGAGTCATAGTCTCTAAACTTTCGTGCTCATAGTCTTTAAACTTTTGTGCCCGTGTCTAATACGTCTATATTTTTTCAAAAAATAATCAATAAGTTCCTATTAAATTATGGGTTCAATAATAAG